TGAGCAGAATTCAACCAAGTTTGCTATTCAAATCCGGCAACCTATCAGTAGCGAAGTATATTCTCTCCACTGAGTCTGTTACATGTTTACAACCATTCATTTGTTCTATAGCTATTATTGCCCCCACTACCGTAGTTGTCATAATTAAAGAGAAATCCCAGTACTGTGGTTTGCCCTAGCCTGTGTATTATCTATAACTCTATCACAAACATTTGGTTCGAGCGTGCTACCAGTATAAAGTACCGGAGTGAGTGAATGCACGGTGACAAGTGGAATCCCAACTTACCAAGTTGTTCGATTTCTCTATCGTCAAGTATTCTCATCATCTCATAATTGAAAATTGTGCAAGTTTCCCTCTAATTACCTGAGTGCCTACTTTCTTTCTTGTGAGTTTGTTACTTTTAGTTTCTTTTCAATTTTATATATTTGAATGCATCTGAATTGAGAATCTCTTTTCTTTCTTTTCCATTTTCAATAAATGGGTTGGATTCTGCTTCACCGTTCATTCCATTAGCATTTCACTTCTATGAGGTAAGCATTTTACCGGAATTTTACTTTCTTGTACCGAGTTCGGTGATAACTTCATTACGAAACGTGTTTTGCTACCCCGTTGCATTTGGATTTATTGCTTCGGTGAATCTTTTGCTACTTATTTCTCTTATTTATCTCTAGTTTTTAAAAAATATAATGACATCATTTTTCATGTTGTCAAGCTCGCTATGCTGGCAGGTGTATCGGATGCCTCCTTCGAAGATCTAATAAAGTTTGCTATGCTCGTATTGTTCTATCAATTTGGTGAAGTGCTGGCTATATGTCTCTTAATTACTTTTTTGGGATTTGAGTTCCTTGTCATCCTCTTTGTTTGTGATACCTCTTTGCTCGGGCTCTTTTACAATTGAAGACTATTAAAAAAAATTCATATTTATTAGCATCATGAATTTTTTATGGCTGGTGGTGCCTGTGTCTATTCTCTTTACTGGGGGCTTTTCAGAAGACGTTTCAAGACCTGATATTATACATATTGGAGCCATTTTCTCATTTGGCACTGTCAATGGGAGAGTAGCGAAGATTGCAATGAATGCTGCTGTTGAAGATGTGAATTCTGATCCTAAAATTCTGGGTGGAAGGAAATTGAATCTCTCCATGCACGATTCAAACTACAGTGGCTTTCTTGGTATTATTGGAGGTAACTGCTAATGGTCTTCCTTGAACCAAGTCAGCATTGCTATTCTTGTCATTTATACATGTTGTCCTGTTTTATTCTCACTGTATCCCCTTAGATTTTTGAACCCTCAAGCTTTTCCTCATAGGCTAGATAAGGTCATACCAATAATCCAATTTATTCCCTCTCTACAGGATTGCAGTATATGGAGACTAAAACTGTAGCAATTATTGGCCCTCAGACCTCTGGAATGGCTCATGTGCTTTCACATCTTGCAAATGAACTGCACGTCCCAATGTTGTCATTTACAGCACTGGATCCTATGCTCTCACCACTTCAATATCGTTACTTTGTTCAGACAGCACCCAATGACCTTTTCCAGATGACAGCCATAGCAGATATGGTTAGCTATTTTGGGTACAGAGAGGTTATAGCAGTTTTTTCAGACGATGAGCAGGGTCGTAATAGCATAATAGCTCTTGGCGATAAACTAGCTGAAAGACTTTGTAAAATCTCTTACAAAGCAGTACTATCTCCTGAATCCCTAGCATCTCCCGATCAAATTATGAAGGAGTTGGTTAAGATCACGTTGATGGAATCCCGGGTGATTGTCCTACATGCCTATGCTCAAATTGGTCTTCAGGTTTTTGAAATGGCCCATAAACTTGGGATGATGGAGAGTGGATATGTTTGGATTGCTACTACTTGGCTTTCTACTGTATTAGATTCCACCCCAGTTTCTGGAGATGCTGCCAAATCCCTTCAAGGTGTTCTCACACTTCGTCCCCACACACCAGCTTCTGAAAGGAAAAGAGCCTTCTCTTCTCGATGGAACAAGTTAAGCAATGGCTCTATTGGGTTGAACCCTTATGGCCTGTATGCTTATGATACTGTTTGGATTATTGCTAATGCAGTCAAATCGTTACTGGATTACGGTGGTGTCATCTCCTTTTCAAATAATTCCCAGTTAAATGGTTATGAGGGAGGAGCACTGAATCTTGGTGCGTTAAGCATTTTTGATGGAGGAGAGCAATTGCTTAGGTACATTTTGCAGACCAATATGACAGGTTTAGCTGGCCATATTGCATTCAGTAATCCATTTAGATACATAATACATCCTTCATATGATATCCTCAATGTAATTGGGAAAGGAAACAAGAAAATAGGTTACTGGTCAAACCATTCGGGGCTTTCTGTTGTGCCGCCAGAGATCCTTTACACTAAAGCACCCAATCGTTCAAGTTCAAACCAACAACTATACAGCGTAGTGTGGCCGGGACAAACAACAGTCAAGCCACGGGGGTGGGTTTTTCCGTATAATGGGCGGCAGTTAAGAATTGGAATTCCATACCGAGTTGGTTTCAAGGATTTTCTTTCAGAAGACGAAAATAACAATACGGTCCATGGGTATTGCATAGATGTTTTCCTTGCTGCAATAAAATTACTTCCATATGCAGTACCTCATAAGTTTGTCTTGTTTGGAGATAGACAAAAAAATCCAAGCTACACGGAGCTCATAAGCATGATTACGTCCAATGTGAGTGAGTGCTGATATTAGTAATTAATGCACAAATGGAATGTGTATTTGAGCTGACTTAATTAGCTCCCTGTAGGTCTTTGATGCAGCTGTTGGTGACATTGCAATTGTAACGAATCGTACAAAAATTGTGGACTTTACTCAGCCTTATATAGACTCGGGGCTAGTGGTCGTTGCGCCAGTTCAGAAGTTGAAATCCAGTGCTTGGGCTTTCATGAGGCCTTTCACTCCGTTAATGTGGGGAGTCACAGCAGCCTTTTTCCTTATTGTGGGAGCAGTTGTGTGGATTCTAGAACATAGAATGAATGATGAATTTCGAGGTCCACCAAAAAAGCAGTTCATCACAATTTTATGGTGAGTCCAAGTAATGGTAGTATTTAACCTTGTTTCTGGATGTCAATACAGCTGAAGCATCATCTCAAGGCAATAAATAGATTGCCATATGTGCTCTGACTCCTTTTAGGCATGTTAAGATAATCATGTTGAATTCTATTTATCCAATATTCCTGTCTATTTGCGCTTCTAACATTGTCCGTGGAAGTTTGTGGTGCTTCAAACTTCATACTTGCTCTTTCTCTTCGTTGCAGGTTTGGCTTCTCAACTATGTTTTTTGCTCACAGTAAGTATCCACTGTCTAGACTAATGGCCCGTTTGGTAGGACTATTGCTTTTGCTTTTGCTTCTTTTAAAATAGCTTCTTGAGAAAGCTACTTTAGACCAGCTTTCTCTAAAAGCCTTTTCAGTCGGACAAAACACTTTCAGAAAATTATCCAAGCATATTCAAAAGCAACTTCTTAATCTTAGAAGAAGCTTGTTGGCTTTTCGAAAGCCTGTTAAACGGGCACTGAAAAGGTTGTAGTAGCATGGCATTTTTCTGACTGCAACAATTTATAACTTTCAGGAGAAAATACAGTGAGCTCACTTGGTCGAATGGTTCTAATTATCTGGTTGTTTGTAGTTTTAATAATAAACTCAAGCTATACTGCAAGCCTGACTTCGATCCTGACAGTACAACAGCTAGCCTCATCCATCAGAGGAATTGAATCCTTAACTACGAGCAGTGATCTTATTGGATTCCAGGTAGGATCCTTCGCTGAAAATTACTTGAGAGAGGAACTCAACATTGCCAAATCCAGGCTTGTTCCTCTTGGCTCACCAGAAGAGTATGCAGATGCCCTTGAGAGAGGTAGAGTTGCTGCAGTGGTAGATGAACGTCCATATGTGGATTTGTTTCTCTCAACATACTGCAGGTTCCAAATTGTTGGCCAAGAGTTCACAAAAAGTGGATGGGGATTTGTGAGTGTCTCTAAACTTGATATTAGAACTGAATATTTCTATGTTAAAGCAATTCTGCATCCTCGTCTTAAGTTGTCATTGGTGATTTGGTTGGAATTTTAGCGTCTCTAAACTGAATTTTGCAAGTAATATCAAGTCCTTTCGTTCAGTATGAGATCACACTTCAAGGTGCTTTTCTTACATTGCACCTCTAGTCCATCAAAGTTTTGTTCATCATCCAAGAACAAATGCCTCTTCAAAAGATAATATTGAAGAACTAGACGATCTTACCAGTTTTACTAGCCAGAACAGAAACCAATCGTAGAACTACAAGATGATACCTTAGAAGCATCATTTTTTGACGAAAGTTTTCATAATCAATCATCACGTATTCTCAAACTAAAACAACTTGCTGTGACTGGATGTCATGCAATGTCATTTGAAGCTGACTTGGGAAATAAAAGAAATGAAATGTTCTAAGTTTCTCAACAAAATTTATATGGACAACTAAAAGATGCTTACAGCATGATTTAAAATCCAATATTTCAATTGAATTAGTTCCTAGGTAATCCAGTCTGAAGCTATTACAACTCTGATTTTCTAGAATCTGGATATCTAAACGTGGATATGGCAGTGAAGATCCAATGTGTTTTTGATCTCTTACTTTTCCTCTTCTCCTCCTTGTTGTCCTCTTATTTTTTATTGAAGTTACTATGCGACTTTCATTAGGTGGATTAGTTACTTATTTTCCATGGAAACATCACCTAACTTTTTGTTTACATTTTAGGCATTTCCAAGAGACTCACCCTTAGCCGTGGACATGTCAACTGCTATCTTAATGTTATCAGAGAATGGCGAGCTTCAGAAGATACATGACAGGTGGTTGAACAAAAAAAATTGTGGTCTGCAGGGCTCTGAGCAGGATTCGGACCAACTTCAATTAAAGAGCTTTTGGGGTCTTTTCCTCATATGTGGAATTGCATGCTTTCTTGCTCTTCTTGTCTACTTTTGCTCCATTCTACGCAAGTTCAAGCGGCATCTCCCTGAACAATCTGAACCTTCTTGCCGAAGTAGTTCACGCTCTATACGTATCCAAAGATTCTTATCTTTTGTGGATGAGAAGGAAGAGGAGTCGAAGAACAGGTTGAAGAGAAAACACTTGGAAGTGCTATCAGATTCCCACGTACAGGAACTTCAACTGCCAAGTGGAACCAAAAGAAATGAAGCAGGCATTTTCCCCGAGGGACACGACAGTAGTACTTACTTCAACTAAAAGTGAAATCCTCAATTCAATGGAGTAAATGAAAGAACTTTGTTAGGGTGTATAGAATAATTGGTTATAGCTGGAAAGCTTTCTTGTAAATTTAACACATGAATATGTGATTCTCCTACCTATAATATGTGATCATGAATTCCGGAAAACCTAGCTCTTTAATGGATTTTGTATTATTTGTTCCCTTGCAAAAGTTGTGCTTTCTTGTAAAGACAATAGCATTTCGTGTGAGTTGTGGGAGAGGCATAGAAAGAGATAAGGTTGGTCAAGCAATTAATTTTAACTTCTGAAGTGTATTTCAACGTTTGATAATAATGTGACTTCTGAAGTATAGGTCGAAGTTCGATCGAGCTTAAATATATCTTTATGAATGAGTTGATATTAATGGCATTTTGAACTGCTTTATTTGTTTGTCCGTCTTTTCAATGTTGTGCATGTGTAGCTATAAAAGAATAACTAACCAATTGATAACCCAAGAATAACTAACTTCTTGGAGGGTGAATTGGTTTTTGAAACTTTTTCGACACTTATTCTCAAAATAATACGATACACAAGATATAAATGTAAAG